GGCCATAGGCATTTCCACCTCTGATACATAGCACTTTACTACACCACAGGTTGGGCCCTGGCTTGAACTACTTCTACCTTATCTCTTTCCCCTTATTACCCGTCATCTATCCTCTTATACCATAAGCAAGAAAGTTATAGATACCAGGAAATATTGATACCTCATGGTTTTGTGCTGTTTCTCATCTTCATGGGCTTGATAATTCTTCTAGCCCAAACTAGATCAACTAATTTCCCATGAAATATCGAGGTTGTTGTGGGATGCATTGAGTTAACGATTTATGTTTTTAGCATGTTATCCAGTATTTCTATTGATATGTTCATGTATGTTTTGTTTGTACATATGTGTAGATACTGGAAAGTAAAACACTTGCACAGAAATGGAAAGCTATTTCCATAATTTTCTCAGGATTTTCATGATTTCTATTGTACACCTCAGATTTGATAACATCTCTGGTGAATGTCATATAAGCTTTTAAAATTTATTCATGTAGACACTGTGCACAGGATAGACAATGAGAGAGAGAAAGACAGAAAGAGTAAGGAGCACCTTTCACAGTGCCTGGTGATGCTGTAATCACATTCTTCCATTCCTTCACACTATCAGGTTTTGGGCATTTGTGAGAGTGTCTAACATGTTTCAGGCAGAGCAGGACAGAGAATTGAGTGTGGTCACTGTGTGAGATGCATTTTCTCTTGAGCAGTGAATTTTGCTGCAACTCAGAGGTGGCACATACACTCTTACATGTAATTTATTGAAGTACATAATAGACACTGGTGCTGACATTTCTAACTTCTATAACAGGATGCCCTCTGGGATTTTTTATATTGTGATTCAGGCTTTCATCATATGACGTATCTCAAAAGATTAAAATTACATTATATGAATGGGAAATTTTTGTGCTTAGAATTGAGTTTTAGTAAGAATATTTTATTTCAGTTTCCTATCACTCTTTATGGATTCTGCCCAAGAAGTGAAAATGAGGTCTGTGAAACAGCAGACCTGGAAGGAAACTGCTCCACTGAAGACCAAGAAGCAACAGGTTCCAAAAAGTTACTCCCATTGATTATGGAAAGCAGAGACCAGGTATTTAACACTTGCTTCACTTGC